ATCCCCAGCCTTCTTTTTTTTTTTTTTGAAAGTAGTATTCTAATTAAAACCTGCCTCTCCGAATTTAGGTCCAAGTTTTACTACCTTTTATACTATTTCCTAGTGTAGCATGGCCTAAGTTGGGGACATGGGGTTAATCTTTATTTAAAGACATGATTTTTTACATTGGAAAGATGGAGACCTTTTACAGATTGCCCATCCTCCCAAATTAATTCAGAGTTCTTTGTTAAAATACACCTAGAAAATGATTGCTTTCACTTCATTATCACCTTTTCATTCTAGTCCTTTAACAAACATGAAGTTGTAGGAGACTTTCCCAGGAGGACCAGGAGTCCCTGCAGCCAGTTTTGGAGTAGCGGAAGTCTTCAGACCTTGGCCACCAGCACTGGCCCCAGGACACAGTGACCAGGAGATGAGCATTTCCGCCTCTCTCCTGATGGAGGCCCTCTCCCTGCTTCTGCAGCGCTGCCTGTTCCTGTGCTAGGACCTGAAGGACAGCTGCTGCCTGGAGATGTTAGATTCTGGCCAGTTTTCCAAGAGGCTTGAGGCGGTGTTGTTCTGGGGCCCCCTTCACTTCTTTCTTGATGACGGAGAAATGCTGCTGTGGTCTGTTCGGCATATCCCGTTGAGTGCAGACAGACCCAGAAGCTGGAATTGCTCAGTGTTAAACCTTGTTCTTTGAAGGCTTTTGGTGTCGGTGCCCTGGAAGAGGAAGATGATGATATTTATGCCACAGAAATACTGTCCAAGTATGACACGGTTCTGAAGGATGAGGAGCCTGGAGATGGACTCTATGGCTGGACGGCACCCAGGGAATATAAAAGTCAGAAAGGTAATCGCACAGTCCTGCACCCAAGGGTGGGAGGGAGTGACAGGGCCTCAGGGAGAAAGGATTGCCGGCCCCCGCGGGGTAAGAAATGCAGTGGGGAGAAGAGAGGCCTGTGGGGACATTGGAGAGAAGTGGCGTTTAGATCAGGCAGAGCCACAGCCAGTCGTCGAGATGGGGCCACGTTGGAGAGGAGGAAGAGGACTGGGATCAGGGAAGGACCTGTGTGGACCCGTGCCATGCTGTGCTGCTGGTCAGAGGGAAGCACTCGGGGCCTGAGGACCTGGGCAGATGGCCAGAGTCGGCCAACTCAAGCAGCAGATCAGAAGCCCAGGCTCAGGGCCTGGCTGGTAGGGGCCCTCACGGCCTTACAGATGAAGCTTGGTGCCCAGGCCGCCTCCTTCCTTGAGCCCCTGGCTCTTTTCTTTGAAGTGAGTGTATGTTAATTGCACCGCATACCGGGATCCATTGTGCCGTTTTCGTGTATACATGTGCCTCTGATCATGTCCATCCCGTCTCCCCTCCCTCTGAACCTCTTCCGCTGTCTGATCGTCTTCTCAGGGAGTTCTAGTTGGCATCGAGATGGACATCTCTCAACACAAATCTAAGCTGAAGTCAGAGTAGTGGTGATTCTGGTTCTGTGGCCCCGGGTAGTGTTTCAGGTTTTCAGTCCAGAATGGTGCAGGGGCAGACAGTGTGGAGTTGGGATTAGTAATGTGACTCGGAGTCGATCACACTTGGATTTGAATCCCAGCTCTCTATTGCCCACTGTGCCGCTTGGGTTTGGCTCCCAGGTCTCTGGGCATCAGAATCTCCATTTGTGAAGTGGGATCAAAATCCACTCCAGAGGTTGCCATGACAACCAGGCATCGGCAGGCAGACATCCTGCCCCGCCTGAATCGATAGCAACCTACATTTTTTTTTTTGGTTGCGCTTGTGAGGCAGGTGCCAGAACCATGGAGCCAAATCCCCAGCCCCTACATACTATTCCTTGATCGTGGTCATAGTAACAACTGAAAAACTCAGGGGCTGAGAGCCAAGTTAAAACAGTCTAGTCAGACATGTTTAGCTATGGTCAGATAAGTGTTTTTTTGTTGTTGTTGTTTTGTTTTTTTTTTTTTTTTTTTTTTTTTTTTTTTTTTTTGAGACAGAGTCTCACTATGTAGTTGAGACTGATGTGGAACTCACTATGTAGCCCAGGCTCGTCTCGAACTCATAGAGATCCTCCTGCCTCAGCCTCCCGAGTGCTGGGATTACTGGCGTGTGCCACCATGCCTGGCTCAGATAAGGTTTAATACCTGTCAAACTCACCTGAAATCTGTGTGGAAGTAATCTATTATAAAATGTATACATGTGAACAGCAGCCCCCGAAATAATGTCCATTTTACATTTCTAGAAGAGAAAAGAGCAGGTGCGAGCAGAGTTTTGTTTTCTTTCTTTCTTTCTTTCTTTCTTTCTTTCTTTCTTTCTTTCTTTCTTTCTTTCTTTCCTTCCTTCCTTCCTTCCTTCCTTCCTTCCTTCCTTTCTTTTCTTTTTCTTTTTCTTTTTTCTTTCTTTTTTTTTTCTGCTACTGGGGATTGAGCCCAGGGCCTTTGTACTGAGCTACATCCCCAGCCATTAAAAATTTTTTAAATTTTCAGTCAGGGTCTCACTAAGTCCAGTCTGGGCTTAAACTTTCAATTCCCCTGCCTCAGCCTCCCAGACATGCACAACTGCAGAACTTTTACAGGTAGTTTGTATAACAGAAGCACAGACTCTGGGGAGACTGCCCGGATTCAGGTCCTGGCCGGCCACACTTGCCAGCCATGACCGTGCACAAAGTCCTTACCTGCTGAGCGCCCCGCTTCCTTGTCTGGAAAGTGGGATGGCAGTGGCGCATGACTGACCTGGATCAGGCCCTCGCAGCAAGCAGCCTGTGGTACCCTCTCCACCTACACACCCAGGGCTTTACACAAGCTGCCAGAGGCGTGCACGCCAGTGTCAGCTGGCAGTGCTTCCGGTGTGGGTTAGGCTTCTCTATGGGATCCCATACTAGAGTAGCATCTTATAATTAACGTACGGTCATATGCAGGGGACAGTTGTAGCTCAGGTTGGTGCATTGAAGGCTCAGGCTCCTCTACACAGCCTTCAAAGTCTCCCTCCTGTACACGGGCGGATCTCAGTGTCCTTGGAGAGACACTGGCCAGGGATTTCTCAGTTGACCCCACACAGGAAAGGATGTTGTTCTGTTCCTTCCAGAGCTCCTTAAGGCTTCAGTCTGTATCTGAGGCCATCTGGAAGCACAGTCAGCCAGCATTCGGTTCATAACTCAGGACTTTAGTAATAAGTTAAAACTAAAATTCGAGTCATAACCCAAGTTGTTTGTATGTCAGGTTAGTTGTAACTCGAGTCCACTGTATTCAACTGAATTATATATACATAATCATTGATATATTTACAGTACTGACACCATATGTTAAGTGTATAATATTATTATTAAACAGTCTTTAGAAATTGGTAGAATGAAATGGATAATATTCTATATTTACATTGATACATCCTAATTAATTATACTCTTAAATTAACCAGCACATCTTAAATGACATCAGTCTATCTGTTCTATAATGGTTAATACTAAAATACCATATATACTTACATCTGCCTTCTGAGCCATATCTTTCACTTTCCTTGTACTGCAGCTTTGTCCTCACAGGTGGATTGTCTGTCACCCCTCCCCACAAGCCTGTGTGGTGCCTCCCCATCCTTCTCACCTATAGTTTCTCTTCCCTCCTACCCGCTGGGGCCATTCCCCCCTCCCCGCTGGGGCCATAACTTCCGTAGTTTTTTTTTTTTTTCTTTCTTTTTTCTGTAGTTTTGACTATACTGTTTTTCAGGGAGTGAACCTACCTTCATTTTATCTAATCTCCATGATTGACCTTTTTTTTTTCACTATGTAGTTCATCCTGGCCTTGAACTTACTGTGTAGCCCAGGCTGGCCTCAAACGCATGGTGATCCTCCTGCCTCAGCCTCCCAAGTGCTGGAATTACCAGCATGTGCCACCACACCCAGCTAATGAATATTCCTATAGCTGTGTCTTTCTGCAAATTTGTGATTCCTTCAAAATTCTCCAGAATAAATTCATGAAAGTAAAATTTTTGAGTTTAAAAAGAATATAAATTCCAGTGGCATGAACTTGAATCCCAAATTATGCCCCTGAACTGCAGGAACTGTGGAAACTAGCAGGAGGTTCCACAGCGTCAAAGGGTGAGCTGCTTCTGCGGGGAGGGCGGTCTCGCAGGGTGCTGTCTCCGGTGGCTGGACCTTAGCTCCCCTGCACAGTGAGCTGGGCCTGCAGCAGAACCAAGCCAGAGCTCGAGCAGGTACTCATCCTAAGCGGAAATTCCTCGGTTCAGAAAACACAGCTCCTATGATAGACTTTGCCACAACTGCCCTAGCGGAAATCCTGAGAGCCCTGGGGCCTTTGCTGCCCAGGCTGTGAGCATCATCTTCTGTTAGAATCTCATTTGTGAAAAAGCCGAGTGTGCCTTTTAATCTGTCCTAAGGTCGGTCACAGGCTGACCTGGCTGAGCTGCCTTCTGTCCCGTACTGCGGTTGTTGCTAAGGAAATGGGAGTATGGCAGTCTCCCCACGGTTCTTCATCTGGTTTTCGAAACAACTCTCACAGTTGTGATTTCTATTTTACCCATCCTTCCTCTCTTGATAGTTTTTCTTGTGACCTTTTAGTCCACCGGATATCCTGAGGTTAAGGACCTAAGGTCTTTTTTCTAAATCTACTGTTGAAGCGTTGTCTTAGGAAGCCTCAGCCTCGTGTCCTGGCTGCTGCTAACCAGCCAAGGGTGGCACGGGCCAGGCCACCAGTCACTGTGTCAGCAGCAGTGTGCAGGCTTTGCACCCCGCTCCGTCTTCCCCTCCTGCCAGCCCCGAGTGAGGTCACTTGTGACACGTACTGTTTATGGTCTTGGAGATAGAAAGCTCTGTCTTTTGTCTTACTGTAATTGTGTCTACTTCTAGAATTAATCAATGACATTATTTTGTAGAATCCAAGAATGATCTTCGATATATTGGCAAAATTTTGGATGGATTTTCCTTGGCTTCTAAACCTTTATCATCTAAAAAAGTAAGAAAACATTTTTATTGGAACAATTTTTTTTCCTGGTTTGGTACAGTTATGTAATCCAAGTTGTGTTGTTAATTGAAAAGATAAGGAGATTTTGTTTTCCAGAAAAACATATTCTAAAGCTGGTTGTGGTGCCCCATGCCTACAATCCCAGCTCTGGGGACGCTGAAGCAGGATTGAGTTTGGGGCCAGCGTGGATTATATCACAAGACCATGTCTGAAAAAATAATCGGCATTACAGACATCAGTCAGCACTGTGTTGTGCTCACAACATCTAATCACTGATCCCCCTCCTTGCCCCATCCTGTGGGGATAGAACTCAGGCCAAACTCACACCAAGTGACAGCACCTGCCTGTTCTTTTTTTATTTTGAGACAGGGTCTCACTAAGTTGTCCCAACTGACCTCAGATTTACACTACTTCTGCCTCAGGTAGCGCTGGGCCACAGCTCAGTAGCACTGTGCCTGCCCGGCAAGTACAAAGCCTTGAGTTCAATTCCTGGTACCTAAAAAAAACGGGGGGAATCCAATTTTCTGCCTCAGCTTCCTTAGCCACTGGGATTAAAGGTGTGCACCATTTTGTCCAATTTAATCGCTGATCTTTTATTTATTTATTTATTTATTTTTGGTACCGGGGATCGAACTCCGGTCCTTGTGCTTGTGAGGCAGGCAGCAGCAGAACCACTGAGTTAAATCCCCAGCCCAATTGCTAATCTTTTAAATCCAAACTTCGCATAACGGTTATTTCCATGAAAAGAGACATACCAGCACTAGAGATGTAGCTCAGTGGCAGAGCACTTGCCTACCACGTGCGAGGGCCTGGGTTCCATCCCCAGGACCCTGGGTACCACTCTAGGTGCCCTAGGACTCTGGGAACCCACAGCCCTGATTGCTCCCGGTGCTCTGTCGCCAACGCACTCCTGAGCGGGGGCCAAGCAGAGGCGGGGGACGTGGCGAGCAAGTGGGTCAGGTCCAGTAAAGCCGACTGGCCTCCCTGGAAAGTCTTGTTTTTGTGAGGTTTTGTGGCAGTGCATGTGAGGCCACGAGGTGCTCTTCAACTCCCATCAGCCCCTGCTACCAGCACACACTCTGAGCCGGGTGCAGGTGCTGCCTGCGTGGGTGCAGCGGTTCAGGAGGGCACCTGACCATTTCCTGAGTCAGCATTCCTTGTTTAGATTGTTCCACATTCTAATCAGCTTTTCTTTTTCCATTCAGCAAACATTTGTTAAGTACCTCCAAGGCACTGCCTGTGGTTTTTCTGAATAGAGGAACCCCAGCAGGCAGTGCAGCCTGAAAAACCACATTCGGCATTACAGAGTCTTGGCTTTGTTTAGTTTTGATAGTGAAGGGATTCTACAGCAAACAGATATATTTATAACAGTGCTAGACATATAGTGAGCTGCTCTTATTACCAGAAATGTCAAGTAATTCCAAAGGAGGACATGAGTTTTTGACATGTAAGGAAAGTTGGCATAGTTTTCAGATGGCAGAGAAACACTCATTTGACTTAGGGTTCAAACATCAACTGTGCTGGACTTGGGAATGCGGCTCAGGAGTAGAGCATGGGCACTCAGGAGGCCCTGCGTTCCACCCCCAGCATCCAGAGACACACGGGGTCGCCAGGCCCAGGCTGGTATCACACTGAGGGACGCAGCAGCGCAGGAGTCCTGGGCTCCCCAGAGCTCCTCCCTGGATATGCTTTGCGCAGCAATGACTTAGGAGAGCCCTGTTCCCCAGACTCTCGCAGGTGACGGGGTCCTAGGTAGGTGGCTAAAACCCCAGCGCAGCACTGAGAGGCCAAACAGAACAGCGACTTGGTAGAGGGAGGGCAGTGCTTTGAATCTAATGGGGGATTCCTTTCCTACCAGGCTCTCTGGATCACTTTTCCTTTTGCTTTCCTTTGCCTTTCTTGCTTTCTGCATTTTTGTTTCTTTGATTGTTTGTCTGTTTTTTTGTTTTTTTGCAGTACCAGAGATCAAACTCGGGACCTTGTGCTTTCAAGGCAGACACGGTGCCACTGAGCTAAATCCCCAGCCCCGCCCCGCTTCTTTTCTTGTTCTTTTTGTAGTACTAGGGACCGAACCCAGGGTTGTCACCCAGAACTACATCTCCACCCTTTTTATTTTTTATTCTGAGACAGGATCTGGCTGAGTCACTGAGTTGTGCAGGCTGGGCTTGAACTAGAGTTCTGGTATTATAGGTGTGTGTCCCTGGGTCTGGTTCTTTTCCGGCCTCCACCCCCTTCCCTCCCTTCCTCCTTTTGGCTGAGATTGATCCTAGGGCCTTGCACATACTAAGCATGCAAGCTACATCCTCAGTGCTCTGGGTTTTTGAGCGTAGTACCATGAGGGTGTTTTTTGGCTATTATGGAGTCTCTTTATTTCAGAGAAGGTAATCAGGACAGTATGATTTTTTTAAATGAGGTTTCCTGACAATGATATTGCCACTCAGGGCAGTTTGGGACTCTGGTTACGTCGGACCTTGTGGGGTGTGATAGGCACAGTGTGTGGCAACGGGGCTGCGGCCAGAGAGGGGTCAGAGGTGACCTGACTCCTACTTCAGGACGCTTCAAAATCTAGAAAACAAGCTAAATTGAACTGAGTTAAGATGTGATCTTCCATCAAGGACAAGCAAGACCGTTTAGTGTTGCTATTTAAAAGCATCTAATAATTGGGTTGGGGGTTAAGTTATCGTTTGAATTGTTAAAAATACTTTGGATCAAAACCTAAGGCCTGAAGTTTGAATTTGGAGCTGAAATGGAAGCAGAATTCTGAATAACTAACTTAAAAGTTATTCTTTTCTTCAAAGTCTTGGCAGTGATTTTCTAAGTTTTGTGCGTTAGGGTGGGCTGGTGCTGCTTGGGTCATGACCTGTGCTGCCCACCATCTCTTTCCCGTTTTCACCGCGTAAAACATGCACTTTCTCATCTCTGTGAAGAAGTGGGTGAGGGCAAGGGTGGAGCCTGTGCGTCCTGGAACCGTGGGATTCTGGTGACTTCTCCGAGGGCCAGCGAGGATGCTGCCGGGAAGGGTGCGGCTGGTCCTACTCAGAGATACAGGAATGGGTTTCCTCGGATAAATTTAACATGATCTTTCAGCAGCCTGTATTTCCCAGCTTTTGTTGTTTTGTCTTGTCAAGATTTATCCACCCCCCGAGTTGCCGAGAGACTATCGACCGGTGCATTATTTCCGACCCGTGGTTGCCGCCACCTCGGAGAACTCGCATTTACTTCGGGCGTTAGCAGAGTCCACCACAAAGGCAGTGCCTGACCCAGCGATGCACAGTCGGCACCAACTGAATGCCTCCAAGAGGGGGGAGTTGCTAGGGGAGACGCCAGTCCAAGGTGCGTGTCAGGAAGGAGGTTGAAACCCCTGCACTGAAAAAATCTGCCTTAGCAAAGTCAGAATAGAAAATTGTACTTTTCCCACTGAACTTGTGTCTGCTTTTGTCCTTCCAAACTGTAGGAATAATGTCATTTATTGAGAACAGCACACATACAGTGGACCCTTGACTTACAAACTCAATTCGTTCGCAAGGGCTGGTTGTAACTCAAGTTGGTTATCTGAAGGCTCAGCCTTCAAAGTCTCTCTCCTGTACACAGGCGGATCTCAGTGTCCTAGAGAGACGCTGGCCCGGGGTTTCTCAGTGAACCCCACACGGGAGGGGATGTTGTCATGTTCCTTCCAGAGCTCTTTAAGGGTTCAGAGACCATCTGGAAGCACAAGTAGCCAGCATTTGGCTCATAACTCAAAACTTTGGTTGTAAGTTAAAACTAAAATTGCAGTCATGACACAAGTAGTTTGCTTGTCAGGCTGGAGGTAACTCAAGGGTCCACTGTAACAGTGTGTGTACCCATTCCTTTTTCAGATGTCTTTCCACTTTCAGTTTGTTGTGCAATTGCAGTTTTTGCCTGAAGCTCCTCTACGTTTGGGCATTTAACGATGATCTAGGAGTGCAGCGCATTTGCCTTCTCTGTGCAGCCAGGGAAAGCAGCCTTTTTCCCTGGAGGGAGCGGATCCGGCAGCTCTACCTCTGAAAGCCAGAAAGGAGAGAGAGTGGAGAATGCCCTGCAGGGTGTGCAGAGACACACAGCAGCGGAGGGGCCCTGGGTCTCCGGCCTTGTCCTTCGGGAGCCCAGTGTCACCTCCCCCATGCGATCACCCAGAGCAGAACTGTGCCCTCTGTCCCTCCCCTCACCTGCCCTCTTATTCCCACCTGTGATTGTGTCTGGACCACCCCGCTGCTCAGACCAGGAGGAGGATTCTCGTCCCCACCCCACCAGCCCCGGAGCCCTCTCTCGGGGCTGCCTGCAGCCGGGACTCTGCCACTCCCCGCCTTCAGCTGCTGCATCCATATTCTTCACGTGGGCTCCGGCAGCAGCCTCCTCCCCGCCCCCGCTCTCCAGTCCGTTCCCTTCAGTGGCCCCTGTATGGCGCCCCCAGTGCTTTCCTTAGCACTCGCCAGTGCCCGTCACACTACAGAGACAGACAGACTCCCCACAAGTCCTGCGGGCCTTTCCATGTACCGTGTTCTCTAAAGCCCTGTGGTCCAAGCTCGTGATCCCCACTCTGCCCATGAACCTGCCAACCTCAGTGCCTCCTCCGGGCCTGAGTATTTGCTGTTTCCTCTGCCTCTGTTCTTCCCTCATATTTTTGCAAATCTGTTCTGTATTTGACATTGTTTGTTTGAGACAGAGTCTTGCTGTGTAGTCCAGGACAGCCCTGACGCACTATGTAACCTAAGGTGGCCTTGAACTCCTGGCAGTCCCTTGATGCTAGGATTACAGATGTGCACCATCACACCTGGCTGGCCTGTGGTGTTTTACTTAGGATTTAGCTCAAATATTTTCTCCCCCTCCTTTCCCTCTCTCTGCTGAAGATTGAACCCACAGCCTTCATACCCAGCTACACCCTCAACTCTTGTTATTTTTTATTTTGAGACAGGGTCTTGCCAAGTCACTGAGTTGCCCAGGCTAGGCTGGAACTTGCTCCTGCCCCAGCCTCCCAGAGTGCTGGCTTTATAGGCATGTGCATCACCATGCCCAGCTCAAAGAGTATCTCTTTTATGTTTTTGGTTTTTTGAGGCAGGATCTTTTGGTGTAGACCAGGCTGGCCTTGTACTTACTGTGTAGCCCAGGCTGGTCTCAAATTCACAGCAGTCCTCCTGCCTCAGCCTCCCAAGGGATGGGATTACTGGGGTGTGCCACCATATCCAGCTCAAATGCCATCTCTTCAGAGGTTTCCTGACTGCTACACCTGCTGCTTATCCCCCCTGCCCTCTGCCATTCTGCTCACCTGAGTCACCCTCGGTTGTATCACCTACGTTTTCATGGCACTTCTCTGCATGGGTCTTTGGCTTTTGTCCTGCCCATCCCTCTCCCCAGTGAGGGGACCTCATCTGCCTTTCCGTGCCTCTAGGCCAGGCCCTGGTGTGGAGTTGGGGCCCAGGGAGCATTTGTGGGAGGAGTGCGTGCTTGGTGGGCAGCTCTGTGCTCCCTGCAGGGCTGAGCTGCAGGGCTGTGGGAGCAAGGACCACCACAGTCTGGGGTCTGCATAACGGGGAGCCAGGCTCCTCATGCCTGTATCACTCACACGCCCCACAAACATGGGCTTTGTCTCCCCCTTTGGTGCTGGGGTTGAATCAGAGCCTCATGCACAGGGCAGGCGCTGTCCCCCTGAGCTCTGCTCAACCATAAACGCCCAGCTGTGTACCTCCGTTTTCTCAGCTGTAAGGTAGGAGTCTCTCTCTTGGTTCTGTAGCTCACAGGGATATATGAGCATAGATGAGAAGCTCAGCACATGATACCCATCTCCAGTGATGTCCATCTGTGAGGTTGAAAATAACCGTGCTGAGAAATCTAAACCTAATACCTCGTGATACTTTTCATTCCTTCTTATTCCTATCATTATTTAGGTTCAGCGACTTCAGTGTTAGAGTTTCTGTCCCAAAAAGACAGAGAGAGAATCAAAGAAATGAAGCAGGCAACTGACCTGAAAGCAGCGCAGCTCCAGGCCAGGAGTCTGGCGCAGAACGCAGCAAGCAGCAGAGCCAGGCCCTCCATGCCGGACCCCGGACACGGCTCTTGGCGCACGGCCCTGGCCGGCGGGACAGCCACTGCGAGACCCAGCACCTTCAAACCTTTTGCTAAAGATCCAGAGAAGCAAAAGCGATACGAAGAGTTCTTAGTACAGATGAAAAAGGGTCAAAAAGGTGGGTGCTGGCCTGGGTCTCCCATGCGTCAGCTGGGCCAGGCAGCGTTCTCCCTTCTCATCCTGTCCCCAGATTTAAAGTTGAAATACAGTGGACCCTGGAGTTACGACCAGCCTGACATATGAACAACTAGCATTTTAATTTTAACCCAAAGTCTTGAGTTACAACCCAAATGCTGGCTGCATGATGGGCTCAGAAACACATTTAACCCTTAAGGAGCTCTGGAAGGAACATGACAACATCCTCTCCTGTGTGGGTTGAGAAATCCCAGACCAGTGTCTCCCTAAGGACACTGAGATCTGCCTGTGCAGAGGAGCAAGACTTTGAAGGCCATGTAGAGGAGCCTGAGCCTTCAGCTGACCAATTTGAGTTACAACCAGCCCTTGGGAACAAATTGAGTTTGTAAGTCAAGGGTCCACTGTACCCTGTTCTGCCAGGGTCTCTGCTTGTTCTGCTGCAGGTAGTGTCGGGGTTTCAGGCCTGGCTCTTGACTGGAGAGCAGGCTTGGAGCCCAGGTCCCCCGTAGCTCAAGCTGGAAGGACAGCTGTTCAGGTACAAGTGTGCCTTGGCAGGGGCGAGTGCTAGATTAATGTGCTGCTCGGAAACGATTGACTTCTGTAAGTGTCGAGCTTCTGACCAAGGGGCCATTGCCTCCTGTTTTATCCCTAACCATGGTCTGCGATTTCCCTTAAAGAGGTAGCTGGGCTGTTCAACTATGATGTAGGGGAAAATCGATCTGTGCTGTATGAACTGCATATGGTAAGGACGAGGAGAGAGACTGCGTCAGCAAACTGAGGGGTTGCTTTTCACAAACCGACTTCGGGGGGTTGTAAAGTTCATTTACTGTGCCTTACTTTACACCATGCCCCCTCAGGTTGACTTGCTAACTTACAGAGAAAGGTTAGAGAGACAGTATTTTTCTGCCCAAAACAGGAATATAGTTGGGGTGACTTTATCTATCCCTCTGAGTGCAGTGACAAGTTCTTTACTTCCAAAGGTGTAATCAAGCAGTAGCCTTTCAAGTGGTTGTCTCCGTTCTGCCTGGGAGACAGAATTCTCTAAGAGCATCACAGTGAAAGGAAGAACAGCTACCCGGGAGGCACCCCCAGCACTGCCCCTGCCTGTCCTCCAAAGTGTGAGGGGAAGCAGGTGCGTTTCCGGCGGGGAATGGCGCCCACCGCGCTCTCCTCGCAGCTCTTGCCTCATTCCCTGTCCTGCAGATGCCCTGGAGCGCTGTCTGGACCCCGGCATGACCGAGTGGGAGCGTGGCCGCGAGCGGGAAGAGTTCTCGCGGGCAGCCCAGCTGTACATGTCCTCCCATTCGACCCTCTCCTCCAGGTTCACGCACGCCAAGGAGGAAGACGATTCCGATCAAGTCGAAGTCCCGCGAGACCAAGAGGTCTGTCCCCCCTGTGTTCCTACCTGGTGGGCTGGTTTTGTGGTTTTGTGTTTTTTTGCGGGGCTAGAGATTGAAACCGGGGCCTTACACGTGCTATGCACATCCTCTGCCACTTAGCTACATTTTAAATTAACACGTGGTACAGCTAAACGTTTTAAATTCATCCTTGAAAAAATCAAAATATGCACCGCATAGCTGAATATGAGATAATTTTATGCTTTGGTTTCCAAGGTACTGAAGCAAAAATACTATAGTATGAGCTCTTTTGTAATTTTGCTTGAAAATTTACTTCTGTGTGCATGTACGTGTGTGTGCACTGACTGATGGCGGAAATGCCGGCCAGGGAAGCCTCGGACTTTGTAATGGAAGTGAGTCGGGTCAGCTGTGTGATACGTCCTGAAACAGCGCATGCGTCTCTTCCCAGAATGATGTCAGTGATAAGCAGTCGGCTGTGAAGATGAAGATGTTCGGGAAGCTAACCCGAGACACATTTGAGTGGCATCCTAGCAAGCTTCTGTGTAAGAGGTTCAATGTCCCCGACCCCTATCCAGGGTGAGTCCCATAAGTCCGTTCTGGGCCCCCCACATTCAAGCTAATTTTCCTCTCACGGTGCCATTATAAATTTCCTTTTTCACCGGGCGTGGTGGCGCACATCTGTAATCCCAGCACTCGGGAGGCTGAGGCAGGAGGATTGCTGTGAGTTCGAGACCAGCCTGAGCTACATAGTGAGTTCCAGGTCAGTCTCACTACACAGTGAGACCCTGTCTCAAAAAACCAATAAATAAATAAATAAATTTCCTTTTTCTAGATTAACTTAGTTATAAATCTTTAGACTTGTGAATTTTGCAGATTTACGTTATGTTTTATTAATTCATTGCAAAAAAAACAAAAAACAAAAAACCTAAGCCAGGTGTGCCTGTAATCTCAGCACTCGGGAGGCTGAGGCAGGAGGATCGCTGTGAGTTCAAAGCCAGCCTGGGCTAGATAGTGAGTTCCAGGTCAGTCTCAACTGCATAGTGAGACCCTATCTCAAAAACAACCATTAAATATCCAGCCAGGTGTGGTGGTGCACACCTGTAATCCCAGGACTGTGGGAGGCTGAGGAAGGAGGATCATAAATTCAAGCCCAACCTGGCTGACATAGGGACTTAGCAATACCCTGTTTAAAAAAAAAAAAATCTGTAGTTGCTGATTGTTTGGTTTTTTTGAGGGAGGGTCTCACTGTATAGTTCAGGCTGGCCTTGAACTTGTGGAGATTCTCCTACCTCAGCCTCTAAAGTGCTAGGATTATAGGTGTGTGCCCCGACACCTGGCATTAAAATAATTTTTTTAAAAGGGCTGGGATATAGTTCAATGCAAAGGCCCTAGGTTCAATCTCCAGTACCACAAAACAGACACACTCCCCAAAACCCAAATATTCAAATAGCAAACTTTATTCTGTATTGAAAATATGAAATCCAGATGGGTCTAGTTACAAAAGCTTAATCTTTTTGTTTACCATCTTTTAAATGCTCTTCATATATTTTACATCTAAGATATTACTTATGTTTTCTTTCTTTCTTTTTTTTTTTGATGGAATGTAAGCTTCATGAGACAGAAGGCTTATTTTTATTTTGCCATATTCATTGTACATACATAGAATAGTGAGAAGTACATAAAAAACACTTGATAAATATTTGTGAAATAAATGTATCATGAATGATGATGGCAAAGCAGATACCTAGAAAAAATGCTGGAACTAAAAAAGAGGAAGTAAATTCACATTCAATGGACTTCTGCATGTCAGACATCACCCTGTACTGTACATACAGTGGTACATCAGATCAGGAAATGTTTTCTTTCTTATCGTTTTCTTTTGGGGTGGTACTGGGGACTGAACTCAGAGTCTTGTGCATGTTAGGCAAGTGCTTTACCACTGAGCTGCACCACCATCCCAGTTTCTCATGTTTTCTAATTCTCTATAAAAGTTCAAACCTTCTCACTTGATTATAAACGCTGCCAGAAAGCATATACACTTGATTCAAACTGTGTCGGAAACTGTGGGTATGTTTTAGCGGTAGAAATCCATTTTCAAAATTAAATTCCAGCCAGCTGTGGTGAGGAGGTCGCAATTCAAGGCCAGTCTGGACAACTTTCTGAGACACTGTCTCAAAATAAAAAAGACTGAGACAGTATCTCAGTAGTGGAGCGTTTGCCTAGCCTGTGCCAAGCCCTGGGTTCTGTCCCCAGTACCAAAAAAAAAAAAATTTTTAATTAACTCAAGCACTTAGTATAATAAGAAATAAGAAAAAAACTCACGGATTCTGAAGTCAGCCATCTCAGTCCATGAATTGCTTTGGGAAGTACAAACATCTAAGATGGACTCTGGGGAAAATGTGAGGCCAGAAACTTTACGGGAAGTGGATTTTGTCCTAGCATTTTTTTATTAAAATGATCTTTTTTCTTTCCGACCCCTAGTTCCACTTTAGTGGGCTTGCCAAGAGTGAAGCGTGACAAATACTCCGTCTTCAACTTTCTGACCCTTCCGGAGACTGAGCCCACAGTGCAAGCATCAAGTGAAAAAGTCCCACAGCCCCGCAGCTTGGACAGTGAGTGGGGCCTCTGGGGTCTCTGTGCTGGCGGCACCTGCTGGGGAGACCGAAAGGGGGGGTTCTGGTCCCAAGGGCTCATGCGGTGCAGTGCGCCCTGCTCTCATCCCTACGTCAGCTCGGGCTGTGCTGCTCCCTGCCTGGGCTCTCCGGGCTCTGTCTCTGCCGCCACTGCCCCAGCGCCTTGCACAGTGCCTGTGACAGATTGGTAGCGAACAATTTGCCTTTTGCTTGCCGATTCCAGTGTTGTGTCCATGTCCTTTCAGAGTCAAGGAAACCATCCAGATGGGATACATCTCCACATGAGAAGAAAGAAGATTCCATTAGTGAATTTTTAAGTTTGACTAGATCAAAAGTTGGCCCTCCGAAGCAAGAGTCCAGTCCCTCAGTAAAGCAAGGAGAGGAGCATGCGCCGGGATCACTCTCCGAGAAGGTACTGGGGCCCCAGGTTCAGGCTGGCCGTGGCCTTGGCCCTTCTCTGTGCTGAGCCTTTCTCCATATTGTCTACAAGCAAGGCTCGGCAGACGTTTTTGGTGAAGGGCAAGGAGAATATTTTAGGCAAGTTCTCGCCTCTGCTGTTGAGTGTGAAGGAGACGGAAGGCAAGCAGGTGAGGGCCTGGACCCCTGACTCTCACTTCGCGCTTTGTACAGGCAGCAGACAAAGGTGTGACGTCCCAGGCTGAGGGGGAAGGCAGCCGCCCACCCATGGACCTGTTCAAGGCCATCTTCGCCAGCTCCTCGGAGTCCTCCTCGTCGGAGGAGGAAGGGGACAGTGAGGACGAGCAGGCGGGCCCGGAGCAGGCCAGCTGCACAGGCTCCCAAGGCTCTGCCTCGGCGGAAACTTCGTCTGTGGCACACGGTACGTTAGTAGCTCAGACTCGGGGATCCGAGGGGAAGTGGTGCTTCTTAGTCTGTGGTCTTTTTCGTCTAATCCTTTTGTTTGTTCTTTCTTTTTTTGTGCTGGGAATCAAACTCAGAACTTGTGTTTGCAAGGCAGGCAGCGGCACCACTGAGCTAAATCCCCGGCCCTCTTAATCTGTAATCTTAAACCGGGGAATTAGTAATCAGTGATGTTTAACTTATTTTTAATTGGGAAGAGCAGAGTTCTTTTTAATCTTTGCAGTGCTGGGGGATAGAACCTAGGGCCTCGCACATGCTAGGCAGGTGCTCTGCCTCTGAGCTACACCCCAGCTGCAGAATTCTTTCAGTATAAATCCTTTAGGGCAGCTGTGTTTGATAATATTGATTTTCCAACTTATCCTAGTTGAATTTTAAAATATTTTTCACTTAAAACTGTACTTTTTCAACCTGCTTGGTGAAGCAGTGCGAGGATAGCTGGAAACCATCTGGTCAGAAGCACATCGTGTGCTGTGGGCCAGAGGCAGACCTGCCTTGCCTGGCTGTTCTCAGGACTGTGAGGCCCTCGAGTGCCAGCACATGGCCTGCCCCCGCACACCAGGACTTCCAGGCACAGGAAAGGTGTCCATCCAGCACCGCAGGGCTGGGGGAGCATTCAGATGCGTGGGTGGCTGCAGAGTTTTTTACCCAAGCCTTAGCGTGTTCTTCCTGCACCTGTCAGGTCATGATAGACATGGGTGTACTACCTGAGGGCTTCAGTCAAAAAGTACACCGAAATATAAAATATTATTTATTTTTAGGTAATTGCAAATTGCAATTTCTTTTTATCTGGGAGGGGAAGAAAACTTTTTTAAAATTACAAAGCCTGAAAAGTATACAAATGCCTAGGTGTGGTGATGCACACCTGTAATCCTAGCACTTTGGGAGGCTGAGGCAGGAGTATCATAAGTGTGAGCCCAGCCTGGGTGACTTAGTGGTTTAGCAAGACCCTGTCTCAAAATTAAATATAAAAAAAGGGCTGAGGATATAGCTCAGTGTGAAGGCCTCAGGATCAATACCCAGGGCCCCCCATACACAAGAGATGTAGAAAGCTTAAGTCCTTTATAATCTCTTTTCCTAGAAATAAGCACTTGTAACATTTTTAATGTATATTTTTTCAAGTTTTTTCACTTTTAGTACACCTTTTAAATAATATGGTTATTAATATGGACATGATTGTTTATTTTCTCTCTTTCCTATTTTTTTTTTTTTTTTTTTTTTTTTTGAGACAAAGACTTGCTACGTAGTTCAGTACGGCCTCAAAATCCCTATGTAGCCTGGGCTGGCCTGGAACTCACAGCAATCCTCCTGCCTCAGCCTCCCGAGTGCTAAGTTTACAGGCGCACACCACCATCCCTGGCTTTATTTTCATTTTTCCTTTATTGATAGTTTATTCTAAGTGAAAATAGTCCTCACCAGTTCTCTGGGATGGGACGTATTATATCCCTGTCTGTGAGTGTTGATTTCTTCTCCCATAGCCCCTCCTTGAGGGTGTCTCACCCCTGCTCCGCGGTGACTGGAGTGTGTGCCCGCAGGTGCACCTCCCTCTTGGCGTGACCCTTCTGGTGCACTTGGTCACAGGTGTGTCCCTGTGTAGCTGACTTCCCAGCTTCAGTGTCCCAGGCGGAAGTGGCTTTGCCATGTTCATTGTGTCCCCAGCACCTGGCCTGAGCTACTTAAGCAAAGGGAAGACAAGCACGTTGTTTGGTGGCAGAAGACACCAGTGAAAGACTTCCGTGTGTTACTACTGGGCAAATGAGTGAAGGTCCTGCTCTGGTGTCTTTCAGCCCCTGAGTCTGCACCTCCTGAGCCCATCCCGGCACCTGCCTTCCCGATACAGAAGATGCAGCTGGATGAACGGGAGGAGTTCGGCCCGAGGCTGCCCCCTGTCTTCTGCCCGAGTGAGTCCCAAGCTCCTGGGTCGCCCGCCCGGTCAGCACTCTGCCTCCTGAGAGCTGGGGTTACGGGCATGTGTCACAGCGCCTGGCTATTCCCATTTAAAAATGAGAAAAGACTTGGAGATGTTGGGCAGCATGCCAGAATCACAGGGCTGGGCCTGCAGCCGGGACTCAACTTTTGTCTGGCGCCGAGCTCACCTGACGTCACCACAGGCAGTGAGCTTTCTGCTCTGACTTCTCCGTCTGTGTCTTCCGGCAGCATGGGACGGCGGGGCCCTGCTTGGGTTGCACAGGTCCTTCACTGAGGTTCCTGGCCGCTTCCTAGCCGTGCTGTGACCGTGTGCTGTGCTGATCTGTTCATCACTGAGGGAGAGGCAAATCGAAGGCAGGAGTTCTGCCTCAGTGGGAGACCTCGCGCCCGTGTCAGACTCCTAACTCAGTCCCTTAGGAGCTTACTCTTTGTCATCTTGGTTTTCCCTGTAGTTCATGTGTTTATTACATTTGTGTTTCAGATGCTCGTCAGAAACCTGAGACACCCCAAAAAGAGAAATATAAAAAGAGCAAAGAAAAACACAAGCCCAAGAAAGAGCACAAACGAAAGAAAGACAAGGTGAGTAACTTCCACGTGTCCCAGGACCAGGCGGGGCCTGGTGCTCCTGCTTCCGGTGTCCAGAGAAGCCCAAGTGGCACCTGCAGCTGGTCAGGGAGGATCTCATGGCCAGGGTCAGGGACACGGGACCCTCTGTGCCTTAACAGAAATGCAGATATTCGGTGCCAATGCTCAGCTTTTCAGAAGCCGTTTTTCTTTCAAAGCAGCATATTTTAATTTGTTTAGTTGTACTTTTAAAACTTTTTGGTGAAGATTAAAACGTAGGAGTAAAGGTCATTTGGGCTGGGGATTTAGCTCAGGGGTGCCGCCGCCTGCCTCACAAGTGCAAGGTCCCGAGTTTGATCCCTGGTATAAAAAGAAAAAAGAAAAGGGCATTTAAGTCTGTGTATTAAATAATAAAACAGTATTTATTGTTCCTTCTATATTAAAATGAAGGTATCTTGAACACTTTGCCATTAATTTTTTCACCCAGTACTGGGGACTGAACCCAGGGCCTTCTCACCGAACCACATCCCCAACCCAATTTTTTATTTTTCATTTTGAAACAAGGTGTTGCTAAGTCCGTAAATTGACCAGGCTGGACTTGAATTTGTGATCATCCTGTCTCAGCCTCCGAGAGTCCTGGGATTATAGGTGTGCAAAACCATGCCGGGCTACTGTACTAGGGATGGAGCCTCAGACCTCCCTAGGCGAGCACTCTACCACCGAGCTACTCCCTGACTTCAACCACTTCGTCATTACTAGAAGTGGAGCCTTCGGTCCATAGCTTGCCTTTGGAACTGAAGTAAACTTGAATAGGGAGATAGCTGTGTGTCCACCGTCAACATCGCTTCACGTCGTCCACATCTCCTTCGGCTTTTACCCAGGTCCTTGTTATTGTTGGGCACCCAGTGCGGTCTGGTATCTTCAGTGCAGGGAAGAGACCTGTGCTGACGACTGGGAAACCAGAAACCGTTTGCTCTGGGCAGGCCGCTGCTGTTCGTTGCCCTCCTGCCAGTTTCTTCTCCCTGCTTTTCCAGCCGCTCGCCGCCCTACAGCGCAGTTCCTCAGGTGCCTGGCAAGGTGAACCAGTAGAGTTCACGGGAAGTGGCACCAGCACTGCATTAAGACGGGCTAAGCAGCCGGGCGTGGTGCCGCCTGTAACCACAGCTGTTTGGGAAGCTGAGGCTGAGGCAGGAAAATCAGAAGTGTGAGGCTAGCCACGTTTCCAAATAACCCTAAAACAGGACTAGGATGTAACTCAGTGGGCTCAGTCTCCAGTACCATTAAAATATATATATATATTTATGTATGGATGTGCACACACATGCATGTGCCCATCCACTAAATTTGCTAAACATCAGGAAAGATGGGGTCCTGCCCATGTCTGCCCCCTGCCAGGGACGTACCCAGCTATCCACTCTTGTCCGCCTGTGTTACCTCAAGGCTTAGTGCGTGATTTTTTGAGTGATTCCCAACAACCAAATGCCTGAGCTTGCTTTTCTGTCTTGCGGTGTTAGGGGTAGAGCCCAGCCCCTCGTGCGCGCTAGGCAAGAGGTCTGCGGTCAGCTGCACCCCAGCTTCCCGGCTAGCTTTTCACCAAAATCTTCCCCTCTCGTCTCCTTTTCTTTTTCCAGAAAAAGAAACACAGAAAGCACAAACATAAAAGTAAACAAAAGAATAAAAAATCTGAGAAAAGCAGCAGTCCTGAGAGTACCGACAGCAGCGACAGCCAGGGAGGTGGAGAAGGGACCACCGACCTTTCACCTCAGGAGCTGCTGCGGCGGTAGGCACAGGGCCAGGGGCTGTGTTTGCTTAGATGCAAATGTCAGAAATGAGAGGTCTGTGTATTAACTAGCCTTTGAAAAAAGTTTCAGTATTTAATCATAAGTTATAGATATATAGAGAGTTTTTTCTTGGTACCAGGGATCAAACTTAGGACCTTGCACTTGCCAGGCCGGTGCGGTGCCACTGAGCTCCATCCCCAGCCCCATGAGTAATATATATTGTTACTAGGAAAGTTCACACCTTGCACATGAAGCTTACCGGGGCTTTGGGTCAGCTCCCCAGCCACTCCTTTCTCCACAGTAACCTCAGCCCTCGGTTCCATGTCACCTCTTCGTGTAACCACACGCATACACATGTGCTTCGGCACACATTTTTGTACACTCTTTGTTTATTTTTTTGTGGCACTGGAGATTAAACCCGGGGCCTTTGCACTGAGCTACATCTCGAGCCCTTTTTAAAATTTTGTGTTTTGAGACAGTCTTGATAAATCATTAAGTTGCCTGGATTGGCTTGTATTTGGTGATTCTCCTGCCTCGTCCTCCCAGAGTGCTGGGATTACAGGTGTGCCTGGCAATGCCCAGCTGCACATTTTTAATGTAAATACAATTTAGCATCCATTTGAAGGGTACAAACAATTATAATAAGTAAATATTGTCAGTGTGCTTTCCAAAGTAGTTGTATCCATGAAGTTATGAAAGCGCCCTTCATTGCATTAATTACAAAGATTACGACCATTCCTGGCCAGCCCAGGACCGGGAAGGGTGGCCGAGCTGCGGGCTCAAGATGAAGGGGAAGCAATGAGGGGTCGGGGCCGCCTGAGCCCGGCCTTCGCTGTTTCAGACGGGCAGTGTGATTCAGTCGTCTCCTGAATCCCTGCGCCCTGCGCATTCTTCACCCACATTCCTTTTGTGTTTCTCCGCCCCGTCGTAATTATTGTGTCTTTATCGTATTGGTATCTGGAATGACAAGCACCACCTTTTTCTCTTTTTCATTCATTTCTTGCAAATGGACCTGCGTTCTCTTATTCCAAAAATACAAAAGGGTGTGAGTGTGGATTTCTCTGAATACACGTGTCCGCTTTCCCTTACAGAACCGCCTACCCTGTGCCCAGCAGGTGAGATGAGGAAGAGGTGGGTCCCTGTGTGCCCTTGGTGACCTACACCAGGTCCCACAATTAAATGTTCCTCTGCGACGGTGCCATGCCGGTGACCAACCCTCATCACAGGGCCTGTGGGGACACTTAGCACACAGCTTTCTGTGCAGGAAGAAGGCCGGAGGGATTCGTACGCTCAGGAGCACGAATCTGAGGAAGGGCTGGGGTAGGACAGAGCCTCGAGGTGGAAAGGGACATCACTCTTTGGTTGCTAGATGTTCATTTTTCATGGCCTCTGGCTCACCCTCAGCCTCTCAGGCCTCCCCAAGGGAACCGAGGGGGCTGTCGTTGAATGTCCCCTCCACGGCCCCTGCCTGGCCTCTGCGTGTCTCCCCACTGTGACACACTTGGGGTTACAACCCTGCGGTCCGCATCCCACGCTGGCTCGGGTCTCACCCTTGACAGGGCCCTGATGCTCCCGTCGGTGGCCGTGCAGCCAGTTCTGGTTGGAGCCGAGGTCTCCCCCACCCCGGAGACTGTGGTCCGCTTCCTGTCACTTGCTGTCCCCTGCTTTCGCCCATCCCGGGTGGAATGCCCTAGAAGTGGCATCACGTGGTCGCGCCAGAGCACAGAAGTTCGGGCCCCCACCCGCATCACGAGGGACTCCCGTCCTCTCCTCTCACTTAGCGCCCTCTCCCCCTCCTCAGAGGTACCTTCCCCTCTTGGAAGTTTTAGACTTTGCTTGAGGGATTTCCTTCTGTAGTCTCTTTTTTGTGCCTAGTTTAGGAGGTTCCTAGTTGGCAGTAGCTGGGTCACAGAGCTGCAAGAATTCCTTTAGGCGAACACGCCACAGGTATCCAGCTGTTCAGTTTTCTGTGCAGAGCTAAGAGCCCCGTGTGAGCCAGCTGTGCTCTGAGGAGCTGCCTGCCCTGTTTTCCTTCCTTCCCAGAGGTCATAAATGAATGAGGTGGGAGTGAAGTGGGATTCGAAGCTGTTCTCTAAGCAGGTTGCAGTATAAGCTGTGGGCGATTGTGTGTGTCTGGGGTGAAAGAAGGCGCAGTGGACGAAACAGGTGAAGCCGGGCGTCAGCCCTGTATTTTCTGGGCGCGGACTTCCCAGTGTGACCCAGGGCTCAGCGCCGCCTTCCCGGGCTGATTTTCCCCATCTTCATTCTAACCCAGAAGCGCTGTACACTGAGCAACAGCCCTACCCTTGGGCTTTTCAGTTGTGTCTAACTGGCCCTCTGCCTCTCTCTCCTGTTCTCTTTCAGGCTGAAACGCCTCCCGCTAAAGAGGCAGTGACGAATCCCGCCCAGCCTGCCCCAGAATCAGCTCTGCTCTCTAGTGACTGCTCTGACTGTTCAGTTAACACTTTGTACAGATTGTATTTATATGTAAATTGCTGCTGTAAAATATTTTTTAAAACCTTGACACTTGAAAGGTTTCAGAAATTGATTTCTACTTTTAATTCCAGTTAGTGTCTGAGGGAGAAATTCAGACTAAACAGTCTAATTCAAGCGCATTTTTTCTCTTTTCTTCCTGACGCCTTTAACCTCTTAGCAGGGGCCGCCCAGTCTTGCGGATGGGTCCAGTCTTTCCTCCGCCTGTGCACGCCTACTTCCCAGCAAAGATGGCCTGGTATCCCACCGTGAGGCTGCGCGAGTCCGGGACCTTCCTGTGCCCAGCACCATTTGCACATTTGTCATTTGCCCTTTTTATATTTGTTTTATTTTTTTTATTTTTTGAGGCAGGGTCTCGCTGTGTCGCCCAGGCTGGCCTTGAACTCACAGCGATCCTCCCGCCTCAGCCTCCTCCTGAGTGCTGGGGTCACAGGCGAGCGCCACCACGCCCGCTTTGCCAGTTTTTCAATTGAGTTTTGTCTTTTTATTGCTGAGCTGTGAAAGTCCTGCTTATGTTCTAGATACGAGCATGATTTGCAGAAACATCTTCCCATTCTATTCTTTATCTTTGCACTTTTTTGATGGTATCCTTTGAAGCACAAATGTTTTAATTTTGCTGATATCCGGCTGATCCGTTTTCTCATCACTGTTACTTGTGCTTTTGCTGTGCTGTCTGAGAAAGCGTGCCTAAAGGGTAGCGGATTTACACTTGCATTTTATGAGAGTGTCACTGTTTTAACACATTTAAGTCTTTGATTCATTTGGAATTTATTTTAAAATTATTTGCATTTTTTTGTGGTACTGGGAATTGAACCCAGGGCCTCATGCATGCTAGGCACGTGCCCTGCCACTGAGCTGTATCCTGGCCTCCCCTGTACCATTCTTTTTTTTGGTACTGGGGATCGAACTCGGATCCTTGCACTTTTCGAGGCAGGTGGTACCACCACTGAGCTAAATCCCTGGCGCCCTGTACCATTCTTGTTCATTTTATTCCAAGATATTTTGTTCATTTTTATTTTAGACAGGGTCTCGCTATGTTGTTCAGGCTGGCATTGAACTCAAAGCAATCCTCCTGCCTCAGCCTCCCTAGTCCTGGGATTACAGGCTAAGGCAGGAAGATCATCACCAGTTTGAGGCCAGCCTAGGCTACACAGAGAATTTAAGGCCAGCCTGAAAAAGTCCCATCACCACACTGCTCACCCAGAAGGGCACTGGAGTGGGGACTTGACTCTGGGTCCACGGCAACACTGGATGGGCCTGAGATACGCTCTGAGGCCAAACCACCAGGCCTTGCCAATGGTTGGGAGGTGTAGAGAGTGCTGGAAAGCAGGGTACGAAGGGAAATGGCCCCAGACGTGCGGTGATCATGCAGTCCTGGGACTTCACTCCCAGGTCTGTGCCTAAGAGCAGTGGCAACTGGGGTTTGAACAAAATTCATACTGGGATCTTCTAGCAGTTCTATTCACAACAGCCCAAAATGGGTGAAACCCCCACATCCACTGATGAATGAAAGAAGAAATGCGTGTATCCAAGTAGTGGAAAGTTACTTACGCAGCCACAGAAAGGAAGCAGAGCACCGACACACTCCCAGCGTGAATGGTGTCAGAAACGTGGCTGAAGCCGGTCACGAAAGACCATGCAGCGAATGATTCTAGAACAGCCAAAGCCACAGAGGGGGGCGTGAGTGGTTGCCAAGGCAGCGGGAGGGTAGACACTTAAAGGGGTCCGAGGTGCCTTTGGGAACGAGGAAAGCTTCCTGGAAGTGGCAGGTGGGAAATGCCGCGTACACACGGCCTCCGCTGTCATGTCAGAGTGAATTAACCCAGAAGGTTTCTTGTTTTCACTTTCGATTGACACGAACTAATTGGACATATTACAGGGTACAGTGTGCTGTTCCCACACTGGCGTACCTTGCATGGTGATCAAAGCGGGTGGTTGGCGTCTGCATCACCTTAAAACGTTCGTCGTTTCTCTGGCGAGAACAGTCCGTGCTGCCTCTCTGAAGCTCTGAGTACACGGGAGGAGGCAGCCCCTTGTCCTGCTGCTCAGCAGATGATGAGTGGTAACGATGCCCTGTATTTTTTTTTTTTTTCTTAATCTTCATGATTCCATTTTGGGCTCGAGCTCTTAGAATTCCATTCTGGAAGTCTTGAAATTGCTATGCCCCACAGACATCCAGACAGGGCCAGACATATGCCCTGGAGCTCGGGGGTGGATGTGGAGGCATAAATTTAGAATTTGCTAGCACAGGGGAGAGAATTTTAAACGCTGAAGGTGGGCGAGGGAGAGGCTGTGGGGAGAAGAGAGAAAAGGGGACCAGGGCCACGGTCTGTCAGCATCAGGCAGAGGAGGGAAAGGGAAGACGAACCCCAAGAGTATGTGTTTGAAAAGCAGCAAGAGGAGCTGTCCCCTCATCCTTGGGACACAAACCAAGTCATGAGTGTCTGAAGTGATGAATAATAACAGACCCTAGCCAGGTGTGGTGGCACACGCCTGTAATCCCAGTACTCGGGAGGCCGAGGCAGGAGGATCCCTGTGAGTTCGAGACCAGCCTGAGCTACACAGTGAGTTCCAGGTCAGTCTCAACTACTTAGTGAGAACCTATCTCAAAAAAGCCAAAAAATTAAAAATAACAGACGCTATCCACACACCCCTGTGATGAGTTAATTATAAATCAGGCACAGTAAGAGGTTCCCAACCATAACAAAGTAAAAGAGAACACTTGTAATATACCATAATACCATAGTAGTAGTTATTTAAAATTTAGGAATTCTTTATTTCGGGCATTTTCTATTTAATGTTCGGGGCTGCGGTTGACTGAGGTCAGTGACACTGCAGAAAGAACCTTCGGGAAAGAGACGTCCACTGCCATGGTGCCGGTGAGAGGTACCCATTTGTAGAAGGCCACACTTTGTAAACTGGTGCATCAGGGTATCTACAGGGAGAGAACCCAGATGCTCCTATGAGCTGAGATGGACGTTTCCTGTCTGGCTGGGAACCAATGTGCTGAAATCCTCAAAACACAGGATTTAAATAATAAAGAGACGTGCGTGATACTGTCTGGGCACAGTAGCCCATGTCTGTAATCCCAGCACCCTGGGATGTGAGGCAAGTTGGACCACAGCCTATAGGCTACACAGCAAGGTCCTATCACAAAAGGAAGGAAGGGACAGAGGAAGAGAAAAAGTGTGTAACACCATTAATAAATAAAAAGCCAGGCATGGTGGCGCACTCCTGTAATCCCAGCACTCGGGAGGCTGAGGCAGGAGGATCGCTGTGAGTTCCGTCAAGGCCAGCCTGAGCTACACAGTGAATGCAAGGCCACCCTGAACTACAAAGCAAGACCTTGTTTCAAAACAAGGAACCCTTTCAACCCAGATGTGACGAGCCTTGAAGGACAAAACCTGGCTTTTGTGAGATTCCTGCCAAAAGGCTTCACACAGGTCTGATCACGAGGAGACCCTGGGCCTGCATCAAGGGTCACTCCACAAATGACAGGCCTTGGTCTCCTACAGTGTCGGGGTCACAAAAGCCAAGGGAAGGTGGGATGGCTCCAAAATGAAGGCAACGAGACAGATACAGCAACCACATGCCGCCTTGACCCTGGACACAGTCCTGGGCTCGGAAGCTGAGGGTCCCTCAAGGATACTGCTGCAGTCTGGATGTCTGCGTCTTTCCCAGATTCCTCCCCCAGGGACGACGAAGTGCCCCGCAGTAGGGCAGGGAGAGGGCACCATCTGTGCCAGGACGCCCATGACTCTAAGGCCTTTTTCCTGCCACCGGAACTGTGAGAGTGTTTGCTGTTTCTAAGCTGTTGGGCTCGGTAGTAGACGTGCACATCTGTAATCCTAGCACTCTAGGAGGCTGAGGCAGGAGGGCCACAAGTTCAAGCTCAGCCTGGGCAACTTAGCGAGACCTTGTCTCAAAATTTAAAAAAATAAAAAAGGGCTGGGGATGTTGCTAATGCAAAGGTCCAGGTTCCAGTCCCCAGTACTAAAAATAATAATAATAATAAAGCTGCTGGTATTTTTTAATAGCAGCTAGAATGACTAGGACATTATGGGGCAGTTGATGATCTGAGTATGAATTGTGAGACAGGTCAACAATGCGGCGTTAGTGCTGAATTTTCTGATTTTGATAACCATTGCAGTCGTGTAAAGGGCTTTATTTTTAGGGTATAAACTGACATATTTGGGGGTGAAGAAAATAATGTATGCTATTCACTCTCAGATTGTTCACACACACAGTGAGAGGAGTTGGTGTGTTCCTTTCCTAGGGCTTCCACAAAGTACTCCACACTAGGTGGGTTAAAAGAACAAAAATTGCCAGGCACGATGGCACGCACCGCTAGTCCCAGTACACAGGAGGCTGAGGCAGAAGGATCACCACAAGTTCAAGGTCAGCCTGAATCACTGTCAAAAAAAAAGAAATCCAAAAATATATGGTCTCACAGTTCTCAGGCTCCTGAATCTGGTAGGGGAGACCCCCTCCCTGCCTCTTGCTAGTTTGTGGCCTTTTGTAGACAGTGCTGGTGTCCCCGGCTGGCAGCTGTGTCCCTCAGCTCCTTCTGTGTCACTACACCCACCTCGTCCCTGTGCCACTCTGTCTCCGTGCGGCCACCACACAGGGCATTGCGTAGAAGCAGGATCACGGGTCCGTGGTTGTGGGAAAGTGAGACAGCTCAGTGCTTGAGCCAAGTGGTTACAGCTACAGCGATTTGAAGACATGAGAAACCAAAAGTCACTCGAGGGTGGAGAAAAACTGAGCCTTATTAGCCACCTGGCCCTGAGGAGTTGAACCACTCTGAATTCTGAGCCCCAAACAGAAATGGGAGCAACCTTATATAGAGATCTACGCCTACCGGGTGAGTGTGCTCATTGAAGGGGGTGGCAGAGTTAGCAGAACATTCCTGAAACCTCAAGTAGAAACAGCAGCCCAGCAGGTACGAACAGTTATGTGGCTGGAACAGAACGCTTTGCTACCTTGGGCAGGAACATGCGCAGCACAAACAGTTACATTTCTTGAACAAAACATTTTATGGCAAAAACATGGGGAGGCAAAAGCGAAGACCTGCCCTGTTGTGAATTCTCATCATTTCACCCCTTTGATGCCCTTATACAGGCATAGCCTCATAGGACATCACTAGTAACTTCAGGGTTACAGCTTAGGTGAGCTCCCCCAGTAACTGACACACACTGTCTTGTAAGAGCCTGAGGTGGTCTTGCAGGAACTCTGTGAGGCGTCCGAACAGAGAGGGGCCAGACAGCAGCAGCAGGAAGATGGGGACCAAGGGGGCAAATCATGTTCTC